TGTGCACATACAACACACATATATATATATATATATATATATATATAATCCCCATTATCAGATGATAAACTAAAATAATGCAAATGTCTAAAAAAATTATATCTCTTAAACATATGCCTGAAGTTACCCTTGAAAGCAAATATCACAAATATTATTCCTGATGCAATGATGTAACTTGCTGAATACACTTTATTTATACCTTAGCATTCATGAAAAAACAACATATTCTAGTATGTTATAAATGGTTTCAATTTCTTTTATAAAACATTATAAATTTTTTTACAAACATTTTAAGCATACTACAACTCTAGAACTTTTTCTTTTTAGATTAACAGACCATAAAAAAAATTATGAAAAAAAGAATGATGAATTTCCAAGTTTAAAATAGGGAATGTAACAGAAGAATCACAGATATTCAAGGTATCTAACAAGATCAGATTAATTAGTTCTGCTTTTTAACTTTCACTTTGTTTTATCTTCATAGAATTTCACCATAAGGGAGAGGCATGTATCTTCAAAGATATGGGAGTCTGTGGGCCATTAGGATATGGGGTTTTGGATTATCTCAGGTGCATTCTGTACTTTTTAATTGCCATTTTAATGGAATTTTTTTAACCAAGAAATGATTAACATAACTTAGATCTTTACACAAGTTCCACGTGGCCTTTCTGGCAATATTAACTTCTCAGAAGTTCTCACCAAGTGTGCAAACAACCAGCTTCTTCTCCAGCAAATCCACCTTCAAACCAACATTCCTCTCCAGCTAGTTCCATTTGAATCCTTCAATCCTTTATCTATTTCTTCAGTTGCATTTTCCTGACTCAATTATTTCTGTGTTTTTACATATTTAAAAGGTCAACACATTGCAGCCATTTCACTACAAGACAATGTACTTCAGAAATGATTATGGCAGGTTAACACCATAAACTTTTGTGTAGTTGTATATGATTCATTAATTTCTCTTATCACATTTTGTTCAATCAAGTAACAGTTTGTGAAACATTGTTAGAAATTCTATTTTTTACATGTCAACTATTAAATTTCGTGGATAAACAGAAACATTAGATCACAGATTTGGCCCCTTACTATTCCTACTTCAACATCAACTGACCATCCCTACACCCCTCAATTTATCACTGAATGTACACTGATCCTAAGGATGATGATGACACTTACACTGATTAAACAGACATGGAAATCAGCAGAAGAATCTCAGCCTGTTTACACTAAGGTTCTCTCAAATACATGATTGTCACAGTTAAATATACAATAGTTCAAGAAATGAACAATAAGCAATCACTTCTATGTTTTAAGAAGTTAACAGAAGATTTGTTTCCATCAATATGATCTTATAACAAACTTTAAATGTTTTATAACTATTACTTAGGTATAGTGTGTAAGGTTTTCCTTCTAGTTTAGTTTATCCTTGAACTATTTTCAGGTGTCTAAAGTTCTAGTCTATTTCTAGTCTCCTAGATTTTATTAACACATTTTGACTAGCAACTACAATAACTATTAAAGTACATGACAAATATTTATATTACTGAAATGTCTTGCATTACATTTTCTTTATTAACATACAACTGAAAACACTAAGAAGTCTTCAATGTAAAGTCATGACCAGCACAATTAGTGGCTTATGGAAAATTTAAGGGATGACTAACAAAAGTTTCTGGGTTTACCAGAGGTTTCCCATAAAACTTTGAGCAAATATTTTTAAATCAAATCTGTAGATTAAAAATAACAAAATAAATCTACTTTCCAGCATGATGCCACACTTTGTCAGGTTACTTTCAACAGAAACACTCATGATAGCTTTCCTAAACATTAAATAAAAAAATTACAATGTTTGTACAATGAAAAGCTGAATAGCTGAATTTGACTTTTCAAAATCAATTTTGCCTTAACTTTTTCATGTTCTCTCTTTGTCAAACACTAAAAAAATATGTTTATATAACATAAAATAGGCATTTACCAAATGTAAATTTAGAATTGGTTTAGAACGACACAAAAAGTTTCAGTCAGTAATTGATCTACCACTTCAGATACTGTAACCCATTTGTTAAAATTTTTAAGTGAAAAAATTCAAAACTTATAATGACAAATCAAAACTTTAGGACTTATATTTTTAGTAAAGAGTGTCTCCTCCAAAATGGCTTGTAAACATGGGTTTTAAACATATTAACCTACAGTAATTAACCAATGAACTAAGCATTAAGACACAAATCAGCTAAAATCTCATATGTTCTAAGAATACATTACATCAGTTCTTTTAATTAAAAAACTAGTTCTGTTTAGAAACATTTTTATAAAGTATGCTGTTTTGATCTGATAATAAGAAACAAAATACTAGCTTCATAGATATATCAAGTTTCAGAAACAGTTATCAATAACTTTCAGCATTTAGATCTCAATAATACAGTAACAAGAAAAAAAAAGACTATCGTTTCAGAAACTCAAATATATCTATTTGTATATACCAGGGTAGATGAACATCCAAAACCCTCATGTCACAGTCACCAAACCTTCCAAAAGTCTGGAGGATCAGGGTGTGTGTGTGTGTGTGTGTGAACCAAAGCTTGTTTCAATCAAGTTCTTTGTGAATGTAAGTTCATGTACTACCATCTCAGGAATTTTCCACAGCGGTGAATAAAAACAAAACACTTGTTTCTGTGAATGTAATGCTGGCGTCAAAGATGATGCATAAAAAAAATGTTTTTTTTTACTTGTACATTGATGTGATGTTCAGACAGAACTGGCTTTAAACTCAAATGTAGAACTGTGTTGATGGCAATACTTGGTAAATTAAAATGAACTCTACATACTTCACAATTGCCACACTTGTGAGTTTCTATAATTTAAAGAGGGTGACAGCTGACACAAGAACATTCCTGTCGGCTCTAAAGTAAAATTTTTGAGCCTTTAATCCAACCATTTGGTTCACATTGTGTGCAACTGTTCTGCAACCCAGCTACATACACACACACATACACCTATCTGATTTTTTTTTCCTTTGGTTTAGAACATACTGATGACACATTAAGATTTGATTTGCTTTATTATACTTGTTCATTACCATGACCATTTCTGAACAAACTATGTTTACTCCACATAAAACACACCTTTAACTAAAATAATCAGAAATAAAAGATAACAGTAATAAAATTCTACATTGTCCAACTTCATTCTTAAACAGTAAAGCCAGGAAACTTGCACAGTATAAGTTGATCACTGCGGCATAGGTTAGATGACAACCTTAATATTAATGTATCATTAAGAGTTACTTCAGAGTAATAGAATCATGTCACTTTATCATACATATCTTTTACATAAATATTAACACATATGTAAGATACTATTTGTATGATGCACAATGTTATGACTACAAGGCCTGTTATATAGTATTTGTACTTTTATTCTATCAACATAGATCTTTATGCTGTGATTAAATCATGTACAACACTGATCAAGCTTATTATCAAAATAGCTGCAGCATGTAAAGCTTTTAAAAAAATTGTATGAATATTCTAAACAAAACCCAAATTTCACTATATGCTGTAACATCATCAAAAGGAATACAAACAGGTTGATACCTATAAATTTAAAACAAACTTCTAATTTAAAAACAATCTCATTTCTTAGAACTTGCAACCTCCATCTTTCTATTTATCAAAGTAGTCACAGCTGCTTAGAGAACTATATGAAAAAGGCTATACTGGAAACTTTAACATGGGAAAAAAACTAGTGGATAGTTATTTGAGATATGCAAGCATTGAACTTATGATTCTAATTGGCACTTAAAATACCAATTCCTTCTGCCACAATCAGTCTGTGATAAAACCTTTTTCTCAATAGTTTTGGCCACAGTCTTATTTACTTTTCTTAATACAAAAAATGAGGAAAAGAGCAAAGCACTTACATGATTGCAATGTACATGTATCATTACAATATAACGATTGTCAGAAAAGTTATACTTCAGACATCTTAGATGCATTCCTCAGAGTTTCACTGATGCCACTTCTTCTGTGAGGTTCAACAAGTCTGTCGTTGTCCACTGGTTATCAAAGGTGGAACTTTGTTGGTTTTCTTGATTGAACAATGTGACATAACTGGGCACTGGAAGATTGTGCTCCTGACGGTAAACCTCCCAGCGAGCATCATCTGATTCATGTGTTAAATATCTAGTACCAACCTGACCCTCTAGTTCCCGTAAATCACACCATAACTGGTAGTCCTAAAACAAAAATCATCCTTTTTGTAAAGAACTTCTAAATCAAAAAACTCTTTAATTCACAATAATTATCCCATTGCATTTTTAACGTTTATTTGTAATTTGAGTTTGAAAACTATAGTACTTATCCAAAATTTGTATACTCTGAAAACTCTCCAACCTGTGTTTGTATATTACTGTGGCCCATTTCTTTACTAAACAGGATAACTAACCAATAAAAACCCTATTATGCAAATAAGGATCAACCTATAATTCAGCATTCTCATACCAGTCCTGGATTAACTGTATTCAATACCATTTTAAACAGACTACATCTAACAAAATGAAACTACTGAATTCGGTAAATCTGCTTGTGACGAACAACTAATAATTTCTTCTGGACAGGTACTATGACCATAGAAAAACTGGTATGCCAAACTGATAGGCCAGGATACATATACATGTAAATAATAAACTCATATAAAATTAAAAGTAAGAGTGCCACATCAGGGCCTATTGATTGTTTCTTTATATAATTTCTATAAAAATAAAAACTTAAACCTTTTGAGAAATAAAAGTTATAAACTGATACAAAATTTAAAACAGCTTTATAAGATAGAATATAACTGTATACACAAATCTGAAATGTGTTTTTGTTTTCACAAAAAATTCAGTTGAGTTTGGTACAAACTTTGTGCTGCTAGTTCAATTAGTGGAAGATATCTACGATGTTTATATTAGTTTGAAAGTTTCAGGATTTTCTTATTAATTTGCCTTCACAATCCAACATACTGATACAATGGTGTTAGAAATTAAATGATTTCTTTTTCTACTGACCTATGGTGGAACAATATGAAATGTTGTGGTACTTCAGCACCTTCTTCATTTAATAATCACCCTTTACTTGTGTATTTCCTGCTGCCTTTATTGCAATTCTAGCAATTGTAGTGTAAACTTAGTATTAGTTAATCATAAAATTAAATACTTGCATTTCTTATCACATACTAATATTACTGTGAATTCACAGTGCATACATATTATTGGTGTGACCTGATTTATAAAGTTAACTGAACCAAATAAATGGTGTTATACATTTACAATTTATGAAACAATGCTTTAGTAGCTCAAATCATTTTAACATGAATTTTATAATCGTTGCAAATTCTGAAATCAGCAGTAAATTAACTGAAATATTTTCTAGAAGTTCCGAGTAACAAACTTAATTTCTCATTCACTTCTGAACGTATTTAGAAACTTAAAAATAACTGTTTCTTTTATTTCTGCTACATATTAAAGATTTATTTAACTATTTCCCTTCAACAGTAAGGATGATGAAGTAGAATTCCTAGATCAAAGCTGCAAGAATTATGTTATATTCATCAGAAAGGTGAATAATGTGTCTAGTTTTAGTTGTTATGATTGTGTCATTTGGTTAATTAATACAGATATAAGTCAACTATAAGTAACTATTATCAAATATTTATAAATTAACAGTGTATTAAACACTGTACAAAAACAAAGGATGAGAGAGAGAAATTATAAGTGGTGTAACCATCTTTTATTTTAACATGTAAGTAAGCATAATAAGAAACAATAGTGTTAATATTCAAAGTTATGAATATTATAATGTGAGACTTGAATAACTAATGAGGGAGATAAAACTTATTTTGAAAGTCCCTTTTATGTCTGTTTACTGAGCTGCAATATTCAGTATCAGTAAAGAAGTTGGATAATTCTCTTATGTCAAGAGCAGAATTAAGTTTTGCTTTGTTTAGGGTTTACATGTTCACTTTCTTAGTTTCTCATTGTTTATCACCATTCTAGATTTTAGGAAGAAAGTATTTGTTTAAATGTTGTTTAGCATAAGGCTACATAAAGATTTATTTATGGTGTGTCCACCATAGAGATTGAAGCTTGAGTTTTAGTGTTATAAGCCTTCAAGCTTACCACTGAGTCAATGAAGCTTGCCACATCTGGTTGAAGTATGTGTGAATATTTTTAGTGAATCAGTAAAGCTTATAGAAACATCTTTTCTATTCGATCATTAATATATAATATGTATAAAGTTAGATTTAGTGTCCTCAATGTTAAAACTGATACACCAGTGAATAATGTGACTAAAGACAGCAAGGAATTGATCTAATTTTGAACCAGGGCTGAGAAACATTCTGGGATGTTGGAAATGATCCAAAGGGTAATCCAAATTAAGCACTTAAGTAGAGAAATAAGTGCAACAGCAAAACTGATAACCATAGTAAAAATCGAAACAAGATAGAAGTTTGTTCAAGAAAGTTAATATGAAATAAACATTACTTTCTGAATCTTTTATATGATTATTGGTGTTTGGAAGATAAACATCAGATAAGTTTGAAAGTTTGTGTGTATAGGACAAATATCCCTTTAAAATCTTTTCTGTTTAATTTAGCCAGAAAGATACTTGTTATGATTAGTAATCTGGTAATGACACTGCTTATGGTAGTGTGGTGTGTATGTGATGTCATATGAAAACTGGCTGATTCTCTACTACTGAACCTTTATCAAAAATGGTTGCTAATGCACTGAAGTTCGACACTTAGACTTCTTGATGGGAGCTGTTAAATTCTCCTCTGTTATAAGCTATCATACAAATTGTTAACATTTGATTTGTTGATTTAACGTGCTTTCAGTTAGTTAGTAATACATGACCATGAGATGAGATGGAAGAAAGGTCTGTTTTTAGAACCATGCAAAGGTACACATTATTCAATCAATTAGGAGATGATGATATAAATTGGAACAAGGAGCGACTGGCAACCCATTTGCTTGTACACATTCATTTTAAATGTTTAACCCTACAACACCAGAGTGGTTAGTTTAATTCACAGGTTTAACTTGTAAGGGGTCATAGTGACCTTATGCTGGCATTCTAGGGTTAAACATATCTAGAGATTTTATTACAATATCTGAAAAGTTAAAAATCTCCAAAGGCTTTGCAATAACTTTTAGTTAGTTGTTAATTTAATGCATTGAAACCTTTAGTTGTGTAACTGCATTGATAAAGAAGTCTGACTTTGTTTGTTGCTAAACTTTAATACAGAACTAGTTATATTTTTATCGACAAGAGATGTTTAAGAAATGCCCATCATACCATATATTCCAATTATAAGAAGTACAATATCAAATTGATACAAGTATATGATGTATCATTATGGTTCAGTACACCAATCAAAGGTCTGTAATACAGTGAGTTTTCAGGTTTGCTAGTTACAATGCATGTAGTGAGTGAAGAATATTTTACCTTACTTCACAGCAGGAAAGTATTATTATTATAAAATATCTTGATGTTTGGTTGTAATATACATCCAAATGTTAATCCTTTTACAAGCATTTTTTTGTATCCAATTTTGGCTATCTTTACAGGTATTCCCAGTAAGGAAAGTGTTAACAAAGATATACACGTCCATCATATTTGTACATATTTTCTACCATCAAACCTAGGGTTCAACTTAGATCAAAAGATAAAAAATCTTACAAATAAGGAGTTTAACTGGCAGAGCAGATGACAGTGGGTCAAAGTTTGAGACTGAGTATAGTGAAGTACAACTTAAAATTGATGACAAAGAGTGGAGCTCAAAGATGCTGATTTTCAGAGTTTTAAGCCCCAATATTATGCATACACTTGAAGTAATGAAAAAAGTATAATGCTACTTGCACTCATAAAACTGAAGGGTTAAAGACATGATTTTAACAAAATGAATGTATCCTTGAGTGAAATTACAAGAAACAAAATTATGCATCTGACACTTCATGTAGTCATTATTTCCTCAACCATTCTGACAAAAGTCCACTCCTTCATCTGCTACTAAAGCCTCAACATAGGAATATTTCTGCAACTAACCTGTAACCATGGGTGACATAATGATTTATCCACCGTGTATCGTTTTCTTGTTTTCACCTGCAGCAAGTTCTGGATGAGGTTAACAGCTGAATAAAGTCAAAATTTTGTTGGTTTAGCAATAATAGAACCTGAATTTAGTAATCACTATAACAAATACACGTGTAATAAAGATACTCTTTGATAGGTTGTTTAGGCAGAGTATTCATAATGAATCAAAGTTTCAATAAAGGTACTGTTCTTCAGTTCATACAAAAGGTCAGTTAAATACTTGAGTTATAGAAAAATAATATCATAATACCTTCATATAAAATATCTTTTTGCAGACTGGCTGTGAATATCACGACTGTATTCCAAAATTGGAATGCAGTCTTTTCTTCCAAATTTTTGGATATTGAAACAACTTCAAGCAGAATGAGGTCATTAACTAATCAAAATAATATCAACCTAGCTTTATCACCAAATTTACACTAATAATTTCTTTCTGTGTTTCAGCTTGTTTAAATACCCCACTTTCCTAAAACACTGTTCATGTGTGATCTACATTGTTTATTAATGAACTCACATGATAACTTAAGATAGTTTATCAACTGGGGACTATCACTGAACTGTAATAATCATGTTTAACTTGTTTACTTGGGAAGACCTTTTAATTAATTAACATATTTATAAACAACAATAAATTTTGGCAAAAGATTATTTGATAATAATTGATTTGATTGTTATGAATGAATAATGAGAGACCATGAGTATTGTTGTAGTAGGACAAATTTCTCAAAGAAATGCTTGGATTGAATGCTACAGACATTTACTTGCCAATAAAAACAAGTTCCTTGTGACTAAACATATCAAAGTGTGTGGAGTCACTTTGTGATGGGGAGGACAAGTGTAGCTCCTCCTCATGTTGATTACATACTATCAGTGAACCTATTTATTGGCTCATCTCAGATTCAGATGTCAGAAAGAAAAACTGAAGCTATTAAACATACTATAAACTTTTCACAGGCTGTCAAATCTGGTACCAAAATAAGAAAGAAAAAAAAATGATTAAACTGATAAATTTTTCTTTCCCACAGATATTCATGATGTTTAAAATATGATTAAAATAAGTAGGACAGATTCCCAGTCAGCTTAAATCGTGGTACATTTGGCATGTAACATCTCTTCAACATTGACACTTAACTATCACAACCATTCTATTTTTCCAGTTTTCCAATGTATGAAAGTTCTGAAACACAGTATGAAAATAGCTCAGTTGATCATACACTAAAACAATAAATTCAGCAGTAGAGGTAACTGTCAGTATAAAAAACAAAAAGCACACAAGTTGATATGTTTACAAAGGATTTTGCAAACCTTACTCAAAGTAAGTCTAAACAACAGAAATTAATGCAAGAATTGTTATGCAAAGTTAAGACCCATATAAATGAAAAGAATAAGCCGCCACAATCAACTTTTTGTCTGTAGAATGTGATGAATAGTAATGATAATGCCTAGTTTTATATTGGGTTCCCAAATGTTGCTACATTTAATGCAAAATGGCTAACTTATTGGCATGGAAAGGAAACAAAAGAACTGTGTTGGAATGCATGGACTGGCTTGCTGCCTTACAGTCGTTGCCATGCAATTCTAATCCCCAATTTCCCCAACTTTTGTTTCTTATCATGTTATTTGGATATAAAATGCATAACTGACAGCCAATTCTAGGCTAATTTCATGCTTATGTGAAACTGGAATATTATCAAGACAATAACGTCTATGGTGTCACTTCTAAAACATTAACAAGTGTTATTGATTAATGTTACATAATGAAACCATCAAGCTTCAGATTTCATTATATTATTGCTTACAAAAAGAGTCACACACACACACATTACATGACAAACAGTTACAAGTAAAATTAAATCATTAATTTGTGCAAGTTAATAAACACAAAAAGTACAAACATGGTGGTAAGTAAATTATAAACATGATGAACTATATGAGAAAATAACATATATATTATACATTATCTTCCCATTTTTTAACTAAAACAGAGAAGAAATTTAGATTTTCTAAAATTTAATTTCTTGAACTGAAAATTAAAATCTGAGAGAATCAACATATTATCAAGATTTTATCCTACGAATATATCGACACACACACTTTTGTCTGCATTACATGTTCTTTCACTTTGAGTCTTATCATCAGAAAAGCAAAGAATAAACAAGATTTTCTCAAACATTTTAAAACATTCATAAGTGACAGATTAAAATTCTCACACATTTCCATAGAACATATAAAATAAAACAACAACATATTCTCCCACTTTTGATTCTGAGATACCAAATAGTGAATATTGATTCCTATCATAATAATTTCAATAATAAAATTTATTATGTAACCAACCATTAGACGATATTTCATTCCATGGATTAGGTGGATACATGAAGGTAGCATTTTGAATCTGGTCATGAATGTCTTCTTCTTCATTGAATGGAAAAGTTCCACTTAAACTGTAAAATACTAGAAAATGTAAACCTTCCAAGTTCATAAATTAATTCCTTTTTTAATCACTTAACTTGAAAAAAAAAACAACACTATATTCAACCCATTAGCTAGAAAATGATGCCAGTAATGCTTTCTATTATTACTTTCTTCCTGCTGCTTATTCTAATACATAAATGTATTTCTGTCTTAATATTCTTTTTTAAAGTATCTCTACTACTTTGTTCATGGATTAATTAAAAATATAACTAATTAAGCTTCAAACACAGAGATTCAATGTGTACACACAATGTTTCAAATTAGGGTTTACATTAATTGTCGTAAAAACAATGCCAAAACTAGTGGCATTTTTAATACAGTGCTAACAAAATAAGGTATCTACTCTTCTTTAAAGGCTTAGAGAAAAGAGCATTTCTTCTCATCAAAATTGTACCTCATAATACCAATTTGATATTCAAAATTATTCTCTAGATGAAAATCAATTTGTGTTTAAGGTTTATTTTCAGCAATAAAAGAGCAACAACAGTGTTAATAAAAGGTAGAAAAACTTCGCTTTCCACTTGTTGGTTAAGGCATCAAGTTATATGATTAAAATTTAACTAAATAGTGGCTTCATGTAGTTTTTATTTTAAGCATTAAACTACAAGCTGTCTATGTTTTTAACTAATATTTCTGTCATTCAAGGTAAGAACTTAAAATTGTATTGGGTTGATTTATTAATATGATGTTATCAAAATAACATTTCAAGTCTTAAGTTCCTATACCTGGTGAGAAAGCTGGTTTATGCTTACTGTTGTACATCATTATGAATCAGTGAAATCGTTTTTGAAATATCGAGTAACTAGTCTCAACTATTTTTTAAACTACAATGTGGTTAAAATTTGGAACAATAAAATATTGAATGTTCAACTGTCAAACAGTAATATTCTGGATATTAAACAATACCTATTATGATGTATGTTCTTTTATCTTACTTGCTTCTATTATGCTTGAGCTATTTCATTAAGGACAAATAGAAAAATATACGGAATTCAGTAAATACTATTTTATCAGTATGATTACATGTACCGGATACCAGCTGTTTAACTGAACAGTTTACCATATAACTACACTAACTGTTCACACCACTGAACAAATTATGTGACAAAAAAGAAAAAAAAAGGAAACAACAGTGTGGGATCTCAGCCTATTTGCAATGTTTAATTTGTAGGTACAATGATACTGTACTTATGGTATTCTATTATTTGGACAACCAACCTGACGTAAATGATGACCCCAACTGACCACATATCAAGTGATCTGTTGTATCCTTTATTTCTCACAACTTCTGGAGCTGTAATAATTAAGAATATTTCAAGATCACAAATAAATACAATTACTACAAGAAATCAATTGATATTTATTAGTTTATTAAAGCTTCCTCAAGTAATTATTCAAAAAATAAGTTACCCATATAGTATGTTCATGGCATGTTTCTAACATATTAAAAATGTTAGATGAATGTTTACAACATGAAATCCTTCTTTCAGCTTCTTTCAAATAATGTATAACAGAAGCTGCTCTCATCAAAATTAAAGTGAAGCTAATGGTTAGTTAAAATATTAAAATTTCTGCAACAGTTCCTAGTATATGACAATTAAAAGTAAACTGTGTAGATTTGTTGTAAAGCAAAAAGCTGCATGATGGGCTATTTCTGCTGTTTAAAAAAAAACAACAAAATATTTATATGAAATACATACACTTAGAGTGCTAATTTGATTAGTAAACATTTATATAATTTTTTCTTAAAACCTATAATACATATTTTTTCATAACTGCATAGGTACTGTTTAACCCTTTCACAATGGACTCGTGTATTTTACATGACTTTGTAACCACCATGTAACCATGAAGGTATACATACTATAACTCTGAAAGTACTTAATGCATCTTCCCTAAATTTGGCAAGTCTCTTGTAGAAAAAAAAATCAGAATTTTTAATTCAGACAAGTTTTATTTATTGGTTGTACATAATAAAAAACTTTGTTTATTTAGTTCACATTTCACCAGATTTACCTGGTATCATAAGGTGAGATACAAGAACTAAGGCTAACAGAAATTAAATTAAAAAAAAAAAGGAATCGCGTGAAAATCTATAACAATACTAATCTACAAGTATGTGACTAAGCAATTGCAAACTTAATAAGGTAATTTATCAATGAACTGTCAAATTTAGTAATATATAGGTAAGGCTTTTAGGCCTGAGTATAACTATTACATTTCATTCTGTATACAAAAGATAATTTTTAACTGAGTATTTTTAATAAAAACTTGTCCATAAGTATAATGGAGTCAAAGCGTTGAATGCTCTGATTGCAAAGTGATTTTCAAATTTCACTCGTGTAATCTCTAATACCTACTAAATAAATATCAAACATTTTTACCAGAAAAACTTTTTATCTTATCTGTTATTTACTCTACCATAATTCTACACAAGGTCTCAATTTGACCGACCTTGTTACCACCATAAAAATTAAGAAATAAACCTAAATTACCTTTTTCTCTTTCTAGAATGACTGAAAATTGTAACAGGAAATCACAATTGTTTAGCATAAAGCTCATAACAGTATATATATGTTTATACTTAATTTTATTGACCTTTGAACTGTGTCTAACTAATAATCCCACCACTCAAGTTGTAAAATCACTTGGCAAGTATGCAGCTCATGTTATTATATCTAATTACACACCATGCTAGCTGTTAATGAGTATAACTTGTGAATAATGTTTATTAGTATTATTATTTTTCATTACTTTACCTAACCTAATAAGTTTCTAATTTTTACATTTTACATTTATATTTTTACTTTTATAATAATAAATAAAGAATACACATGAAAAACAAGAGATATGGTACTTACCTGGGTCTTCTTTTTCTTTTTTGCCGTTGACTGTCGATGAGACTTAAGCTTACTTTATTATTCTAATAGTACTATTACACTAAGTAATTTTTTATTTAATTACATAATGCATGTAAAAACACAGAATAACAACATACAAAAAGCGAACAATGTCATAAACTATCATAATGTTTCTGGCTTTCTAACTGTGCGATAAGAGCCTTTAAAAATTCAGCTAAGCTCGTTGGTGTGGTTCCCGTGAGAAAACATTTCAAACTGAATGACAAAATAGATAATACCTTTGACCAGAAAACATTGCAATATAATACATAATTTGATAGATTAAAACTTCAGCTTAAAACTGGTTATAAATAATATAGTATAAACATAAGAGAGAACTATTGGCTATTTCTGAAAGAGATGATGTGCCAGGTGGGCATGGTAAGCAAGTCTGATTTTCTACTTCATGGCTCTGTAAACAAATAAGACTGAAGGTTAGAAAAATTATGCTTTGCCTGAGTAGCATCTATATTATAATAATAAGTAATTTCTTGGAGGAGCGGTAAATAAATTAGAGAAGAGGGAAGACTTAGAGAGCAAAGGTTACAATTCTCATACTGAAGGAGGTAAGGGATTTAAAAAAAATATTCTCTTATAAAATTAAAAACTTATTTAATATTGAAATTTGATTTATTAACTACATTTTCATATCAAGTTTATTTATATACATTGCTAATAAAGTAGTTTAATTAAATTTTGAATGTAACTGTATAATAAGTTGTAACATGCACACTTTGACCTACCCATTGTGAAAGGGTTAACTCTTTTCAACATGGGCTTGGTCTCTGGGACCGACCTTGTAACCATTTTGTGCTTATTATAGTTTTCATGCCATAACTTTTAAATTAGTAAGCGAATGTTAGCAAAATTTGGTACATTATCAATAAACATTACAATGCTTTCATGCATAAAATATCACTATTTTTTTTTTTTATTAAGTCTTGAGGTTTGTAAAGCAATGTTTTTCTCATACCTTTTTTTTTCTTTTCACATGTTGCCTATCTAAGATACAAAGTAATTTTCATTTTAAGATTAAAAATGTATTTATGCATCAGAAAATTTTCAAATTTCACATGCAAAATCTTTATAATGTCCAGATAGTTATTAAACATTTTTTAAGAAAAACTTTCTATTTTATCTGTTATTTTCAGCAAAGAATCTCTGTACGAGTTCAGTAGATTTGACCAATCTCATAACCACCATAAAAAAAGTAGGATATAAATATAAATTATGCCTCTTTCATCCTAGAATGAACACAAATTATAAAATGAAAACATAAGTGTTTAGATTAAATACCTTAAATCTCATAACATTATACATTTATATATATTTTTATTATTATAACAATACAGAAGTTACAATGACACAGCACACTTGCACTCATGTTACCATATCCAATAGCATAAAACTGACCTTTGGTCTGTACAAAGTAACTTGTCTTGGCTGTGTTTTAGTAGACTAGTATTTTGTAAAATAGTCACATTTCAATTACTATACATTATATATGTATATAGATTATTGCTATTTAAAAATAAGTTCTTAAACTTATTTTTCTTAAAACATAGAACAGTAAATAAAGAAGCAAACAATTACTTCTTCTAGTTACAACCTCTATACTTAGTTCCTGCCTGACATAGGTTGCTAAGCCTTTAAAAATTCTGCACGTGGAGGATATGAAACAAAATATTTTTTTCTTAGGTTTCATATATACATTTGAATAACTAAAAAATCATAAATTACTACATCAATACCATAGAATTCCACTATAATTTATCGATTTATTTTTGCCTAAAAAATATGAAATTTCGGGAAATATTAGTTCAAAAGAAAGAAATGGCATTCAAGCTCGTTATAATGGCTGAGAAACCCAATAGGGGGTCTGAGCATCCGATTGGTTATTCACATCATATATAAGTAAGTGTATAAAAAGGGAGCGTTTCCAAAAATTGTAAGATGTGGGTGGGGTGCCCCTATATTTGACTTATTACATGCGTAATATATTGGCAAATAGAAAAGATAAGACATTCTTATTTTATATTCTAGCTTGTCAATATCTGTAATTTGAGTTTCTAATTTGTACGAAACTATAGACTTAGTATGTTGGCATCACAAACATCTAATTTGAACCAGTGCTGCATTCAACATCCCAAGTGACACACACAAGTCAATGTTTATCTGTGTTTTTAATATTTACTTTTAAATTAAGAAATTTAGTAATGTATAGTGCTAAAATTTGAATTATAATCTATAGTTTGATACCAAACTTATTCACATAAATTTATGAAATAGTAATTCAATAAAATTTTGAGTGCGAGTCAACAAACAAGATGACATAGCCTTTCATCTGTGACCTATCTTGAAAGGGTTAACAGATACTTACCTTCCAATAAAGGATTTATTACAATAAAGCAAAATCTGTGTTCTACGTTTTTTTAATGTGTTTTTAAATAAAAATATCATTTAACTCAACAAGTAGTTTCCTTCATTACTTACCTAAGTAAGCAGGAGTTCCCACCAAAGACCTTCTAAAGGACCTCTCACCTATGATTCTTGCAAATCCAAAATCACAAAGTTTCACCTGAAAAGAAGTTGATTTTAAATTATTTTAAAAATCATTCAAAACTCACAAACATAGTTCAAAAGTAGTGAAGTAACTGACTCATAATCCACAATACTCAGTCAAACTAGGTAAAAGTTTAATTGTTTCACAGTTCATAACATCTGATACCTAACTAGATTCCCAAAACAGTAGACTGCACTTTCACTTTTCAGTAACTTATTTGTTTAATGTTATTTGCTTGAGAGAAGGTAGGAATCAAAAGCATTTGCCTGATATTAGCCACTTTAACAAGTTTCTGAATCACAAAAATCGTTTTGATGTTAATGACACTGAAAAAAATTCAAAAATACTATTCTATGTTATTCGTCTACAGAATCTGTCTGACTTTAATTACCTGAAGGAAAGCTGAATCAGAAATACCTTATAGTAATACTCTCTCATTAGGAAATAATGGATAAAAAATGTGCCTGATATGATTTTCTTGAGAAAAAAAGTCTGACCAATAATTAAAGAATCTATCTGATATTATATCTACCTAAAGAAATTATGAATTAGAAAAAACATCATGTATAAAGAAAGTCTAAACCTGGAGAATTCATCTAATCATACATGCTGAATTTGAAGAACCCATCTGGTAGTATTTGCCCAAGAAAAGTCTAAATCCATCATATAGTATTTACATCTGAATTGAATGAATCCATCTGATCATATTTACACCTGAATTTGAAGAACTTATCTGATTGTATTTGCCCAAGAAAAGTCTAAATCCATCTTACAGTACTTACATTCTTTACTGAATGAATCCATCTGATCGTATTTACACCTGAATGTGAAGAACTCATCTGGTTGTATTTGCCCAATAAAAGTCTAAATCCATCGTATAGTACTTACATCTGAATTGGAAGAATCCATCTAATAGTACTTTCCAAAGAGAATTTTATATTCATTTCACAGTACTCACCTGAGGAAAGTCTGAATTTGAAGATAAGAGAACATTCTCAGGCTTGAGGTCACAGTGAACAATGTTTTTGAAATGTAGATGTTTCAAGGCAATTAGAATCTATTAAAAAAATACATGTTTAACTGTGAAGCTTTTTATCAAATACACTTATATAGCAAGAACTTATTACATTAATGCTGCTAGTGGATTCAACACTACATTTTAAACCTAAGTCAAATACAGGTTCTGTCAAAAAAACAGTAAAGTGATTTTATTTGGTTTATTGTTTTATTACCTCTATATAAAACACAAACTGTCTTTAAACCTTACTCTTCATTACAGTTACAACAATATATAAAAACATGTACCATAAATACCCTATTTTTATATTCATATTTGTTTGACAACTTCTGTACATGGATGAGGATGATGATTAACTTGCCTGATATATAAGAAATTTTGTGATCCTCTCAGACAATCGTCGTTTCTCACTTGACAGAATCATTTCTAGCATATCTCCCCTTAGTTTTTCCATTATCACAAATATCTGAAATAAATTATCGTGTACAGTAAACCCTTGGAAGTCTCAATAATATTTTAATAAGAACCACATAAATATATATATATAAAAGTTTAATATTATATAAAAATTAACAAGAGACAGTTCTCAGAGCAGCATCAGTTTACATTATGAAGATTCAACTAATTACAACATTTTGGCAGTCTTACTCTGCTGGAGGTCTCTACCATCTTCTCCAAAGTAACCACACCAGGATGGTTGATATTCTGGAGTATAATAACTTCATTCTTCAAGTGTGCTTCCTGCTTTGTTGGCAGTTTGGTCTTGTCAATCACCTTGATTGCAACAGACCTTCCACTAGTGCGGTGCACACCTAAGGTGAAGAACATGGAACAGACAACTTAAATACAGAAATGTGTGATTTTTATTTGTGATACATGTACCTTCATCTGTTATTTTTAAGGGCTTTCTTGTATCTCAGAAGTCTTCTAAATTAACATGAAAACTATAGCCTAAATCAGAAGTGCTTTTGAGAGAAATGTTCACTTCATATTGAAACTTTAAAGCAAAAGATGAAAAACCAAATTTATAAGATTAATTATTAAAATTAGAAAATTAGCATAAAACTTTTACATTTTATATCATAATTTAATCTGTTCTTGAGTTAAAAATGTTAGCTGAAAACCTTACTACTAAAACAAAGAAATAGGTAGAAGATAGGCAGTTTCTTACTTCCACATTCTCAAAAGTACTTTAATATATATAGTTTGAATAGGAAAGTTAACTGACAAAAGTACTGATGATACTAACCCCCATACACAATACCAAACTGTCCTGAGCCAAGAACTTCATCTGGTATGATTTGGTACATGCGACTAATGTCCTGGAATATAAAAAAAATTCTTAGAAAGTAGAGTTTGAATGAGAGAGTTTATTCATAAAAGTAATCATAATATTAGCTCATATACACGATACTACACTGCACTGAACCAAGAAATTCATCTAGTAGGACTTGAGAATTCTGAATGTTCACCTCAGAAAAGGCAGTAATTGTATATTGTTAAATGTCCCAATATGCAAAAGGCAATCAAATAAGCAAGACTTTGGTACTGTCTCCCATAAATATCTAAATTTAATCAGTGTGGCTAAACAGTAATATTTTTTTACTACTTTGGTTAATTTCAGTTTTAAAACTGATTTCATTTATTTAAATCACTTTTTTTTGCTATTACAAAAGCTAATTGAAATTTAAAATTTGAGAATATTTGTTTTTCAGAAAATCAATGTCTTGATTGCAATTACAGGTTTCAAATCCTACAGTGTCATTATAAAACTTGCTGCCCAGCAGATAGAAAAACTAAACCTTGGTTATGAGATCCAGAGAAAGATAAAACTGATTAAACTATTTGAGTCCATGTTTGGTAAGCAGACATATAAAAAGTTATAACCTCTGATACCATGATGATACGTATACCAACTGGAGCTTTTTTTTTATATAATAAGAGGAGAGATTCAAGTGATACTCATGTTTAAGATACATAGCTTAAAATATAACTTTGAACTACCTAAGGAATGTATACAATATACAGCAATAATGTAGTCTTTAATTATCACAAAAAGCTGGAGAGGAGTACAATTTTTCAAGACTAGTCAATAAAATTTAGAATATTTCTCTTGCCAGATTTTTTAAGTGCAAAAGGTCTTTTTGTTATTAAAATTTGTAATATAATGAGTAATTAGAAAATGTACATTTTCAAGATCTTATTAACATTTCCTTTAAACTGTATGTCAAATTACGAAACTGTATGAAATAACCTATATATGTTTATCTCAAACTAATATTAACATTTTAAAAATATATTTGTTTTTCTAACTGTTAGCATTTTGAAAGAAGTAACTCTCTGTTAAATTTTGTTTAGGAGATATTCTGGAACATAAAGTCTTTATTAGGCTTGCCTTTGAAATTCTCTTAACACTAGTTAAATATTGGATGCCTGGATCTGAGTGCATATCAAGGGTGTGAGAAAATGCCATATGACTAAACTTGAATGGGATCTTCTTCCAGTAAGTGAACGTAATGGCTAAAAAGGAAATTTCTAAAATAAATCTAATTAAGAGATGAACCTTCTATTGTGGAATATGAACATCTTGTATAAACTGATGCTTTGGATTATGAAAATATTAGTTCTTATGCTCTCACACAAAACATCTCTGAAATTTAGATTTTAGTGGTTTTATTTCAAGCAAGTTGAAATTACCCTCATGCCACGAGTGAAAAATTGTACCTGTTTCGTTGGGAAGGGTTTGGTTTGTGTTTGCTCCAAGTTTACATGATATGTTTGGGTATTCAATTTTAAGATTTTGTTTATCAAACATTTGAGTTTTACTTGTTGAGAGCTTGAGTTCTAGTCTTTCTTATATGTTCTAGTAATTTGTACATTTTTTATTTAATATCAAATGTTTACATTTCACATACACACACAAAAAGCCACTACCTACCCAAATCTAATAATCTGGGTCAGGAAAGTGGAAAACAAAGGTATCTTTAAATGTTAACAAGAAAGCTCAGAATGGGACATGGGACTCACTGAGGAAAAATTTAATAGTTTAATATTCACAGAGCTGGCTGAGCTTTGATAAATATTTCAGAGGATGGTACCTGAAGCCATACAGAAAACCTATTATCATGTATCCAAAAAAATACCATTAAATATGTTAGGTATCTGTTGGTCTATACATATACATATATACATGAATTGCTTCATTTCTTGTATATAATTATTAAGCAGACATGTGAATCTTCCTGTTCATTTTGTCGGAAAAACCAAATGGCCAATAATTTTACAAAAGTTTTTCCAGAAATACAACAATCACCATTTGAGAAATAAAAATATGAAAAATGTATTTAGACAGTTATTAACATTGAATTTACTGGGCAAACTGCCACGTTTAGCTAATATTTTTCAAGATTTTTTGCAACCAATTCAGAAAGACAAGTATAGTCAACAAAATATACGAGTATTGACAGAAGCACTTACAAACACTAGGAAACAATATTATAGACTTTTAAGAGAAGAATAAGAAAAACAAAATTGTTTAATTAAGCTTAAAAACTTGAAATTTTAGATTTATTTCATCTAAAAGCTAACACACACATACAACAATCTGTCAATTTAAAATACATTGCATTAGTATGAAAACGTCTAAAAATGGAAGTGACATCATGTAAGGTTGTAACAAGTTCAGGACTTCAAAGATGTTAGGTGGTTTTGTTTTCAGTCTCATGACTGATTTCTCTAAGTGTTTCTTATTTGAGCAGATGATTTAAAACAAGTGTCATGTCTCATAAAAACTGTGTATTTAGCTACTATTAGTAACACTTGTTTAACTAGTTCTTATCTTGCCCTGTAAGATGTCCTTTCCTGCACCTTCATGAAGCTAGCAAATTAAACAATTTTGTATACTGTTACACAATTCACTATTTTCATTAAAACTACTTGATCAAACTACATCTCTTGTCATTACTTTAACTAGATTGAACCGCTTTATTAATCCCCATATTAGCTTAAGAGTATGGCCACACATTCATAAGTGTAGTGACAGTTTACCAAATAATGTCTAAGAAGGTTAATATCCTCACTAATTTTGTTAAACTAAATAAGTTTATTAATCACACATTATCTTACCTTCTTTTTTTTTCATTATGCCCATAAACATTTACTTCAATACCTTAATGTAAAAAAAACAAGTACCTCTCAACATATTCAATGTTATTGAACAGTGCATTTTATTTTAATGTCATAAGCTATATCAAAACACTAAAGACTTTCTGAGGATTATAAGATGTTATCTCTTACTTTGTTATTGTAGTCACCATTTTCAACTTGCTTCTCTCCATCACATACTTGACCTAACCCAAAGAAATGATGACTTAAAATACATAGAGCAATGGTGAAGACTTTACACACACACACACACACACACACACTTGAATGATGTCTTATGAAAAAAAAGAAAGAAGAGTTTATAATTATACTTATCATTGAGCCAATAAATCAATAGCTTTATTAAAGTAGTTTACACTATAAAAAATTCCAAACTGAAGAATAGCACATCATAATCAAGACTGAAGTAGTGTAAAGAAGTACTGAACTGAATTAAAATTGTGTTGAATTTCGTTTTAAATGCTTACGTATTTTAAGAACTCCACCAATTACTGTCCTGACAAAACTAATGAAACATTAGATCTAGTAACATACAAGGCCTAATGTTTATAAAATCGCATAAAACTCTGACATTTCTTCATGCAAATAATTACATTTATTACTATGACCTGTGAGCTTTGTTGGAATGAAAAGCTAACAGTGATTTATTTGAATTACGTTAAAAATATGCCAAAAATGTAAGCAAGTTTAAATTATCTCATGCCACGAATGAAAAATTGTACCCAATAAAACTGTAGCATAGAACACCTGCATAATTAGGTAGGGATGCGAGTTTGGTTTGTGTTTGCTCCAAGTTTACTTATATATCTATAAAATTTTACAAGAAATTTTCATATTTCTTTTATGACTGAGATTATTCACTATTAACTCATGTTAAAGTCCAATTATGTAGCATGGACTTACACTCTACATATGTTTAATGACTGAAATAGTCATGAATTTCACCTTTCCATAAATACTGTTGAATATATCTTTATTCAGTGAATGCACATGATATTTTTTGAAATTTCCATGCAGCTTCTGCATGTACTTATATGACAATCTTGCTGATCAGGTGTCTCAAGGTCATAAACATGCTAATCCTTTTACATAGTTAAAGGATACATACTACAACCTTTGTTCTTATACCTCAAGATAGCATCTACACATTTCTGGGTGTGTGTTTTGGAAGGTTGCTGCTTAAATAGGAAATACAGAAATCTGTACAACTGGCTGAAGTATGTAGCCTGTAGATTTGTGAAAAACCTTACTAAGACAGCTTTATCAGAGTACAGAAGTAGGGTATTTTCAGATTTTTGTCTCCTGATTTTTCTCTTACTTTGACTTTTGAAGCTGTATTTTTACTACCTTTGACCCCGGCAACCAAACAATAGTAATATAAGAGAAAGATCCCAGCCACTTTTGTAATATAACACTGTATTGTTAATAATGTTTAATGTTTCCAAGCATACTTGTGTTAATTTCTATTCCTTTACTGCCCAAGTTTAATATACTCTTTAGCTTAACAGTCCTGAACTTGCATTTGTGAAAATTTTGGCTTTTCTATCAGAAATCAACGAGTTTGAATACCATTTAGGAAAATGTATTAAAAATAATGGAAATCAGTTCAAAATAGCTATAAATACAGAGGGTTTACTACATTATATTAAAATGATTTTAAATATGCAAATTAACAAGTTATGTGATAACTACAGCTGATATAAGGTTTCAGTGGAACAGAATGTATTGAAATACATTTTGACATTGATTGTCATTTCACAGGTAGTGTGATGCCACCTAAAATTGATCACTTTTGTAACAGCCTTTTCCAACACACAATATTCATATACTTGTATCATAAAGACTATACTTTCGAAGGCAAGGATATTTCTTGTACTTAATAGAATTTTAAAACAAAGGAACATAGATCAACAGGGGAACCAGGACCATTTATAAAAACATCCGTAAATCAGCCATGGTTTTGTTTGTTGTTAAGCACAAAGTAACACAATGGGCTAACTGTGGTTTGCCCACAACAGGTATTTAAACCTAGTTTTTTAGTGTTATAATACTTCAGACTTACAGCTGAGCCACTGGTGGAACCCCAGCCATGGTATACAAAATGTAGACTTGTAGCACGTGAGAATCTATCAACACAAAGGTCAGTGGTAAAAGCAGTTCGCATATCACAGGCGACAGTATGCAACATAATCAAGAAGTATCTCTGCTTTGTCTGGAAAAGTGACATAAGTTGTGTGTACACAAGTTGCTTTAATGACACATTTGTTCAATTGTTTCCTACCTCAAGTAGCTGCAGAATGAAACTGGTATTCATGCTGATCAATATGAAGACATACTGGTCAAGGAACCATATGAAATGCATATGGATTTTTGTGCAATAAGACTGTTGAAACAGATGTCCTCCTACAATAAATAAACTATGGAAAGCAGCAGTGTGTTTTGGAGACAACATCCATACGATGAATCCTTTTTCAATGGAAACTACAATACAAGGATTTTATCAAGATGCAAGGTCATCAAGCGGAGCACAATCAGATGTGGTGACATGGACTGTAATGATGTGGTAAGGCTCCAAAATAATTTGAATATAACATATTCAACCTCTGTATAAGATGTAAATATAAAAGCTGTGTTTCATAACAAAAAAAGAGCAATAAAATTGTGTTATTACACTTAGATTTATTTTATTTATAAGCTAATACATACATCGGACACTACCCATCAATTTGTAATTGTACATGTCAGGTAATATGAAATGGTTTCGAAGTGGAAATTATGTTATGCAAGCTTCTAATAGCTTAAAAGTGTGCTTACCTGATGCATGATTATTTTGAGTTACTGTTACTGGCATTAGAGCCTGTCGAATAGCAGATTCCCAGCTTTGATCCCTGCCTGGCTCTTCCCCAACAAAGTAGTCAACATTGGCTGTTCGTAGCTCGAAACAATGGCAGGTTCGGGAGAATTCAGCATTTAGTGTATGTTTTGCAGTTTCTACAGCCAGTATTTCTGATAAAGGGATTTCCTTAATTCACAAGAAAAACATTATTTAAAACAAGCCTCTGTAAATTAAATTTGAAATTTCACTTTTTTATTTCCCGTGTAATATAATACTGATGAAGGCCATAAACAGCTACCCATAAATAGGCACCACTAATAAACAATCACAAGCTATGCTTGTAATATGTTATATGTATGTATATTTACTTTCAGTATGAAATTGATCAATTTGACTCATCTTGGAACTATCTTGTAACCATGAAACTATACATACTATAACTCTGAAAGTACTAAGTGTATCTTTATGAAAGTTAGCAAGTTTTTAGTAAACATGTCTGTTGTTCTAAAAAAAAATCAGATTTTTCAATAAAGTATTTTTACTAAGGATTTGTCTGTGAATTTATGAAGCCTTTACTGACAGTCTGTGATTTTCATGCTAAGAATAAAAATACTACTTTTCATCTTATAGTTTTCATATTTTATTTGCCCAACTTCTAGAACCTCTTAAATGAGTATTAAAATTTATATGTTATTGCTTATTTTCTCTACCTTAACCTTAACTGTAGCAAAATCATCCATGTACAGTGAAATACAAATTTGATAAATAGGAAATAAAACAAATAACATTTTTTTTTGCCTTTTTTTGAATATTTAATTCATTTCAGATTTGGAATTTTTTTATTTTCCCAGTTTCAACTGTTAACCTTTTCATATCTGTTCTTTTAATTTTATGCATTTTTTACCTAACTTTGAACTAAAGGAGCAATTACTTATAGCAGCACATACAAAGTACAAGATTTTGTACTTGTTGGCATAACTGTCATAAGCCTCATTTTTTCTTACTAAGCTTACAGGCATGAGTTTTGAAAAAAAAGCCTAAAAGAAATAACAAATGTCACAGCTTCAGAACTTCAATGAATGTTGAATTTAGTTACAAATGATTTAAATACCAAGGTGACTTACCTTATAATATTTAGAAGTTGTTTCGTTTTGAAACATTGTTATTGCTTTCGTATCCAACCTCCAATAGTGCCGCTTTCTCTGTTGTATCATAATTAAAAAAGAAAAGACAACAATTAAACAATCACAATAGCTACAGATATCATATCTTTAAAATAAATTAAAATGTACATAATGAAGACATATTCTAATGAGGCATGACATATAGTGCAAATGCAGAGAAAGCATTTGTGTGTAACCTTACAACTTGCACTGTAAAACTAACTAGTTTCATTACAGTGCAATCTTAGTTATATATATCACTATATACATCTGGAATATTCCTAAAATATGTTCTGTCTCAATCTCATAATATGGGTAAAGTATCATTAAATACATTTAATTTCCCTCAACCTTAGCTATACCAGAAATAAGATATTAACAACAGTTTATTAACCATTTTAACATGTTATATGTTAATAAAAATACTTTTGCAGAATTTGAGAGGCCTTACCATACTGTCTTTGTTTGTATAATGTACCATCCAGCCTTCTTTGAGCACTTCTGAACTTTTCCGTTTGGTTTGTTTCACACTCTGTACTATACGCATTAATGGAATGTTGTTGCTGCTTGTTCCACTGCAATCAAGAATGAAGGGATAAGTTAATAATGTTTTAGACATTTTCACGATATTTTGTTAACCCTCCTATTACCAAAATACCACACAGGTATTTAAAGCCACCATAATTATGTTTGCCTCTCTGGGTTAAGTATTATACTTATGATGTATGGAATAAATAATATAATTATGAAAATTCAATAATTTCTATAAGGTGTTGCATATTAATTTGTATTCATATTAGTTAAAAATATGATTTAGTGCAAGAGCTGTGGGTTCATACTGAACCTATACTAGTAATTAGAGTTAAAGTGTAATATTCTTTTCAGCACTGGTTGAGTCTGCATGTGTCCTCTCTCAATTAAACCAGATCCCTCAGACTCATTGATGAAACTTTTTTGACAAAGAATGAAGTAGAGGGCAAATGGGTGTGTCACATGTAAACAGTAAGAGAAAGTCCAAACCAGATCAACAGATCAATTTCAACTTTGCAACATAATACACTTACTTAAACAGAAATCCAAAAATAAGCACACATAGTTAGATACAATTATTTTTGTTCTCATGCTCTGTTAATTCAAAAAACATTGTAAAACAATTCTACAGCACAATGCGAGTTAACATTGAAACATTAAGTCACTACAATAATTTAAGGAAATCAGTTTCTCCTTGCTTCAAGGATATCTAACTTAACTCACTAACAACCACTTGGATGTGTTTCATTAACAAGATAATTAATTGATAAACAAAAGGGTAGTGACTAGTAAATTACATCATCACATACACATTACATCATCTTATGTGCAATGTTAATGCCTAACCAGATCCTGACAGATATCTTTCTGAGTTATGTTAAAGTGTTATCTTTTTATGATTATTCAAAAACTTTTTTTTATCTTTGTATTTCCTTCACTCCCATATCAACCCTACCAAACACATAATAATTACCAGGAATATTAATAAAAAGGTAGTACTTAGTTCTTCCTGACAAACTGCTAGGTCTTTCATGGTTGGATCAGCTGTTAAACAGTAAGTTTACTTTTTTTTTTATTTCAGGTGTTACACTTAAAACTTCTTATGAACCACTACTAATACCCCAGAAGAGATTCTTGGATCTGATCCAAAAACTGGTCTGTTCCTTGCTGATTGTAGCACTGCTTTTCAGAATTAAATATTTAAGATCCCTAACAGACCAAATTTTAGACAGGTTTTACATATGGAAAAGATGTTAATTTATGAGCTCAAATCACATACTACAGAAATACATAATTCAGTCAAAAATTACTACACTGTTTTTTGTGCACCTCCTCTTCTCCAAAACAAATGTAAAAAGATAATGTGAAACACAAATTCAAAGTTAAATTAAAGCTTTTCCAATCTAGTGTGCACCTTCAGGCACATTGTTATGTGAAATATGCATACATTCAAGTATTTCTACTCTTGTGTGTGCTGCATGCTCAAAACTGACTATTACTTAATAGGTATTATTAGCTTTTTTTTTAAGGTGTGCATGTGGGTAATACATTACAATATGCCACCCACATGTGGGCTAAAATCTAGCCATCCAGTGCAGAAAGCATGTAGTTTTATATTTACACAAAACATGTTAATTTAAAAACTACCCAAATTGCTGTTTGTTTCCCAACATACTTGCTAATGCTGTTTTGAAAACAAAGTGTCTAAAGAAAAGAATTGTAATTCATTGCTTTTTTGTTGAAAGGGTGAACTTTTCAAAAGTACTATAAGCTATCATGAGTGCTTTCATAAGCATTTAATACAAGGTAGGCTAGGACTATATTTTCAGAATAGTTTAATGTAGTAGCCTGTAACCCCAAATGGTGAAGAGAATGGATACATTGCCAATATTCTCTTATAAATATACTTTTGATAAAACATAGTTATTCTTAGAATTTTTTTGTATTATCTTTATATTCTTTAAATTAAAATTTGCAGTAAGAGGACAAATACTATTTAAAATAATTAAGCTGTTAAAAGAATGATGGTGAAATAAAGTGGTACACAATCTTAATAAATATGCCTTTCCACAAAGCAGTATTCTCTTGATATACAAAAAAAATTAAAAGATTTCACTCATCTATGAAGGCAAAGTCATACAACTTATTATGGATGAGACTCTTTCTTTCCTCTTCTGCATGATTATATCTTCATTTAATCTGCCTAGTATTCTTATAGATAAAAACATCACATTTCTTTTAATACACACCTTTTAACCTAATTCTGATTTAAAATTATCAAGTTTTCAAAAATATTGTTAATTTATTGCTCAGTTTTTATATTAAATTGATAAATTTAACTTATCAAAGTTCCCTGCAAAAGTTGACAAGCTTATCAGAGAATTTGGAAATATATTTGTATTTTTAATACAGCAAATTATGAATACCTTTTAGCTTTAAAAGTAAGCACTTAAAATCTAACACTTATTAATTATACAAATTCACCCCACCATATATACATCTAAAACATTGTTAATATAGCACTCTGCATCATTTGTTCTTTTCGTGTTATCTGATTTAAGATAGATTTTCAGTTTGCTATTTTAGGAAGATTTCTAAAGTCAATGGTTCATTACTTTAGCAGAAGAGCCCATTAATTTCTTAAAGGTTAAGTAATTTATAAAAATTGTACCTATTCAGATATTTCTATTTAAATGGGTGAACAGATTGCCAAGTATAATCAGCTTGCTATCTTCTTATGACTTAAGTTTCACATACTGAGCTAGGATCTGAGTAAAATTAATTTAAAAATAACATATAAATGCAACAAGGACATAACCAAACATTTTTTTTTATTAATAACTACTATGAAATGTTAAATTAAATCTGTAACAGAACATACTTCACTGGGAGTTTAGAATCCTCTCCTTTTTCAGAAGACATCTCACTTTCATTATCAGAGTCATCATCATCAACTTTTTCAACTCCATTCTGTCCATCCAGATTGTCCCCACCATTCTCGCTGTCTACACTTTCTCCTCCTTCTACTAACCAGACACAGATGTTAACATTTTATCAATTATAACAAGTAAATCATGAAGTAAAGTTACACCTGATTACCAGGAGTAACATGAAATTAGGTAAATTATGAAGGAAGGTTACATCAAGTTATCAGGAGTAACATGAAATTAAGTAATTTATGAGGTAAGAATATATGAAATGTGAAATTAAACAAATATTAAATTACAGCCAAGTCACATAACCAGGAGCAATACAAACTACCCATAGCATAATTTGTTTAACAATATTTTTACCCCACCTTTTGGAACATTTTTTAACGATGAGAAAAACTTTCAAAATTATCTTTAAACAAGTGGTCAAAATTAGAATTGAATCAATTGAAACATAAATATTCATGTTATTAAAGATCAAATATCAATATCGTAAAAGTATATGAAAAATTTCAGTATTGGTTGAACACTGCTGAAAAACAGCATCAGAGAGCATTTACAATTTTTCACTTGACCTTTTTGCATGCACATCTAAATTTTCTTCAATAATAATTAATGGTTCAAAATGGTTTTTACACATACGCCATTCTTTTGGAGCTTCTCCCGTACAATCCATGGGGATTTTTTCACAGCATCTCTTGTGAACATTCAACTTACAATCTGAAAATGACAAACTGTCTATAATACTACTGAAATAACAACAAACAGTTTGCACTCATTTATACTTGTTAAAATAAAAATCAGCATAAAGTTTACACAAATCTCAAAAGATTGTCAATATTACCCCAAAGTCAGTTTACAGTCAGCACTAAAACTTACAATTAAAGAAAACTGTTTGTGTGTGTGTGAAATTGTTACCATGTGACTTGTCAAGAAAAATTACACAGTACAGTGGCTCCACCTAAAGAATGCAAATGTAATTTCCAAAACTTCATCAGCAATGCACAGACAGATAAAAACCAGTAGGAAATCATTAATACTCAGTAGTTAACCAAACAGAATAAAATAAATAAAAAACAAAGAGACCAACATTCGCAGGCGAAAGCAACATGTCTCTGCCACGCAATCTCAGCATGGTCAATTTTGACACTGGAAAAATCATGAAAAACACAGAATAATTGAAAACTGTCTATAATATCACTGCTTGGGACCTGCAAGAAGGTATCTTTGTACCAAATCCCATGCAAATTGGTCAAAATATGGCCAAATAATTGACCAAAACCCCCCAAATTATACTTTTTTTCATTGTGAGCTCTGACCTCCCTGAAAAGACTTAAAATGGGTAAATCCTAATTTTAATGTGTTGGGTGTATGAAAATTTATATTTGTGCAATTTTCATCTGTATTGCTGTAAATATGACCACACAGGAGCCTAAAACATACATTTTTGAGTTGACCTTTGACCACATAAAATCCTTTAAAAGTCCTAAGTAAAAAAGAAAGAAAAAAAAGAAAATGGTATCTGGATGTACTGGACCAAGTTAAAAGCCAATCTACCGAGAAATAAAGGAATGATGGTCAGTTGAAAAGTGTTTGGAAGAAGAGGAAAGAAAAAATAAAAAAAGAAGGAACAAAAGAAAAACAGTATGCCTCTCTGTAGAGACATAATTAAATATAAAGAGTTACTAATATAAAGAAAGTGAACACTGATATTCCAGAACTGACTGAATTATAGACAGTACTTAAGCATATATAAAACTCTTTAAATGTATTTTTCTTTAATCTAATTACAGAGGCACTAAATCAAACAAGTGTTGTTCATGTGTCAGAATATTACCAATGATAAAAAAAGTCAATTTCTCTTTTGATTCACTTTATGTTTGATACTTAACCAATTTTATTCTTCAATTCTTACATTTCATGTGCTTGGCTTATAAAATGTTTGAAATACAGTGATATTAGAAAATAATATTCAGCAAACTCTTTTTTCCCCATTGCTTCGCTCACAAGAAAATTTTGTTATTCTGTGTTTATATTACTTAATCCAATTTCAAAGATTTTCCAGCAAATTAATTTCGTTTTATGACTATCAACTCTTTTAATTACTAATGGTCAATAATAAGATGAAACAAAGTATCTAGTTTATAATGAATACATAAATGATTTGCATGTATTACCCTAAAACATTCTAGTGTTTAAGTAACACCTTTTATACACATATAAACTCTTCTGTGCTCAGGCACCTGTTGCATGTTTGTTTTATTGCAATGCAAAAAACAACAACAACAACAATAATAAAACAACTACTCAATCAAATTGTTTGAAACTCAAGATAAACTTTCTACAGATTATGTAGCTTCTATAAATAAATCATTTTTATATTGGTATTTATATGAATTTGCAGCATTGAAAATTCAAAAATATTTCATTGTGATATGTCTTTTCAAGAAACAATTAAAAATGTTTACCTTTGTTGCATATTTCAATAACTGATTTTCATGCCTTCCTACATTCTTTTTAAATTTTCTTATTTCATAACAGTCAAGTTCAAAATGATTTAGCTAAGCCTACCTTTTTTCGTTCCATGAAAAACATTTCTTTTATCAACCAGCAACATCACAATTCAAACGAAGTATAAAATGAGAAATAAACACTTTTCACAAGGTTTAAAAGTTAGGACTGTAATTGTTGCAGACATTGTTCACAACCGTCTTTTCTTCTAGCAACACATCATCAAACTAAGGTTTTCTCATTACTGAACTGGAAGCCATATTGGCTTATACAGTTGAAAAGAACAGAAAAAAAGAGAGCTTTCATTATGCATTAAGAACACAAGCTTACGATCTCTCAAAGCTAAAGTACAGATAATTACATTGTGTCATGACAATTGAGTCTGAGAATTAGTGACTGGCTAAAGTTGCTAAAATCACACTTGTATTGAAGTTGCATAGTTCAGATTAGTGCTATTTTATTCAAAACTACTCTGACTTTTCTCCTAGAGACTATAAGTGTCATATTATGCTCAGAAAAAATTCATTTGAAATCAAAGTTTATGATTTTTATACTTAAAATTAAATAAATCATTATTTTTTTATTGAAGAAATTTAATTGTTTGTTTGAAGTTAAGCACAAAGCTACACAATGGGCTATCTGTGCTCTGCCCACCACGGATATCGAAACCCAGATTCTAGCGTTGTAAGAAATTTAAGCTGAAGTACTTTTTATAAATATGTTTAAGATAAACTGTAAGTTTATTTTCTATGATTTTATTTAATTCAATGGTGCAATTTTGCCTGCAAGGCAGGATGTATCTACCCAGGCATAATAGCGTTAAAATACAACTACATATAGGTAAAACATGTTTGTTTCCAGGCTCAACTAGACTCATTACACATAATAAGATCTTCAGTTTCCTTAAATTATCAATTATCGGGATTCTGGTCTAAATTATAAAAACTGAGTTTTTGCAGGTATCTTATTAAACTACTGATACATTAAGTTAGAAAACTGATAAGTTTGAGAAGCCATGCATAGTGTAAAATTAGATTTGAAATAAGACAAGACATATAAAGGAAATGTTAGTGAAAAATTATTACCTTTACATTGCATGCCTTGTCGAAACAAGCCCTTTAGAAGTTTCTTACAATACTGACACACTGTGGGGCGGGTGTATGAATGTACGACAAATGTGTGGGGCACTTTAATCCTTCCAGCCAGCTCTCTGTCTACCCAAGGTGGTCTGCCCATGTTGACTGAGGATCTTTTCTCTTTACCAGGTGATACTGGTATCAACTTAAAACAAAAAAGTGTCATATAATACCCATCTGCACACACAATTTAATATAAGTGTATATAGAAGAAATCAAGGATGATTAGAACTTGCACATCAAAAATGTATTAAATACCTTAAGTATATGTGTACACAGGAGAAATTAAAAAAAGTTAAGATATGAACACTGATCCTAACCTTACAAGTATTTTAGCCCTTTCCAGCCCAGTATCATGTATATTTTATGAGGGCAAGTTAAGTGTTCACATTTAGAACTTTGCCATGATATGTATTTTATTGACATTTGTTTTGGAAAAACAAATCCCAACTGCTAACCTGAATTTTGGCCTTCCAGCTATATTTTGTTTTAGGTGGGTAGTAATATTTAAACTTCCAATCTACTTAGATAAAACTTGTAAATATACAAAACAAATATTGAAGTTGGTGGTGTCAAAAACTATCAACTAACTTCATTTTTTGTTTTACAAGTTCTCA